GGGGGGGGGGTATATGGGAGGGTACCGACCTGTTCTGTCTGTATGCCGCTGCTGCTGCTGCTGCTCCAGTGGTGTCCCGGGGAGTGGTAGGTGGGAAGAGAGGTACCTGCTGCTGGCCGGGACCAGCAGCAGCTGCCGCCGCAACATTCTTGCCGTCGTCCATCAAGCTATCCGCCGTGGTGAGCGTCCGAATCTCCACACGGTCACCCCTACCGGTGCCGGCCCTCCCTCGCTCAGGCATCGTGTCACTCTCCTCTCCCTCTCCCTCCCCCTCCACACATGCCGTCAGCCCCTCTGTTTTGCGACGCCGGAGGATCCCCTCCAGCACACACACACGGTCGTCCGCACTGGCAGTGGTCTCCCCCTCTCCCTTCGTGTCTTGATCGACCCTCCTCCTTATCACCACCCTGTCAGGGAACAGCGGCACCTGCCCCTGGGGCCTCCCTCGTGGCGCCACGGAGAAGGACCGCAGACTCCCACTCCCACTCCCACTGCCACCACCCTCCTGTCGCCTCTCATTGGCTTGCTCGCGTCTAAGCTTAGATGGGCTGGTGCCTCTGCGGGAGTGAACGTCTGGCGCTCGTGGCGTGAGCGCCTTCTTTGGAGAGATCAGAGGGGGTGAAGGGGCCCTCCTCGCCTTGCTGCGAAGCTCTGTGGCCAGTATGGGTGGCCCTGTGCTGCGGGGTGCGGCAGAAGGCCGCTGGGGCGGTGGAGAAAGGAGTGGGCGCGCAGCCGAGCGATGCAGGTCACGTAGTGGGAGGGAGGGTGTGGGGGCCACAACTGGTGCTGCTTTCTTGGACCGGCTGCTCTTCTTGTCTTGGAGTTTTGGCTCGGCCGGTATCTTGAGACGCTGCAGGAGACGGGGGCTTAGGGGTGAGGGCGACTTTGCTGGGGGTGATCGCAGGCCTTTCTTGACACGGAGAAGAGGGACGGGGCTGACAGGCCTCCTTCTCGGCGCCCTGCTGCCGCCCCTCTTCATGTCTGCCCTCGCCGCTCTGTCGCCCGAATCACCTTCACCTTCACCGTCAGCAGCCGGGCTCTGCTTGCCCGGTGAGGATATGATGACCGCCGTCCTTGACTCAGCATCCGTCCTCGTGAACTGGAGCACGCGCAGAGGGCTTTTCGACCGTGACGGCTGCTGTTGCCTCTGTCGCCGCTCCGATGGCCAGTGAGCTTCACCAGAATCCTCTTCTGTGGGCCGTGGCATTGATGTGAGGAATGCTGGTGGGGTGGCGGAGAGGCCTTTGGGGAATGGGAGCATGGGGGTGGAGGAGGGCGGGAGGGCATGGGAGAGGGGCTCGCTCGGCACCTCGACTGCATCCAGACCTGCGATGCGACAACACACAGGAAGGATGGATGAAGGGGGATGTGTATATGCTATGCGTGTGTGTGTGTGTGTGTGCTCTCTCACGTGGATAAGCCGATGTTGATGCGTCGAGTGCGAGAGCCTCGTCTTCCTCCTCACCTTCTGCGTTATCATCGATCAGCTGGACATTATCCTACACACACACACACACACGCACAGATCATCCACTCACACACTCCCTCCCGCCCTGTGCGCCCGCCCCGTGCAAACCTACCTCATTTCTGTCAGGGTTCTCAGGCGAGGGAGAGATGCGTCTCGCCGTCACCACACTGCTACCCGCGCTCGAGTCGCTCTCCTCCGACTCGGCCTCGCTACGAATGACCAAATAGCCATACCCACTGCTGCCGCTTCCCTCCCCCTCCTCAGAACCCCTGGAGTCCTCCTCCCCCTCCATCCCTGACGACCCCCCTGACCGTGACTGCCCCTCGCTCCACTTGATCTCGTCCCATCGCCAGCTCTCGCTCCGCCTGCTGCTCAGTCGGCCACCAAGAGAGTCGTCTGCTGCAGACACGCCACTTGACGACGATCGGCGTAGAGACTCGCCGCCATCGCTGGCACGGCCTCTTGGGCGAGAGTCTAGGAAGGAGAAGGGTGTTAGGTCGATGGGGATTGAGGGCGAGATGGGGGGGAGGGTGGGGCGGCTGGGGGAGGGGGCCAGGAGGGGATGTCGGATGTCCGATGATTGGTCGGGCTGCAGGCTTGAGGTCGCTGCTTGTGACGGTGCATAATCGTCGTGGTCGCTCCTTTTTCCCGGCCCCTTGTCTGTCCTCAGACGGATCTCTGCAGCATGCTCGTCGGCCAAAGGGGGGGCTCCAGCCTGCACACACAGACACGTGTACCCCATAGCAAACACCGTCCGTCCACACGTGTGTGTCACCACATACACCATACAGAAAGACAGAGAGAGACACCTACCCGTGCGTCTCTACTCCGCGACCGCCACTGTATCATCCCGCTCTCCATCCGCATGGACCGCAGAGGCCCCTCCGTCCTCCTCCCCCTCCTAAACACACCAACACCAGCACCGCCACCATAACCACCACCATAACCACCAGCGGGCTCCGCCTCTCCCTCGGCACCATCACTATCAATGGCCACTGATGACCTCGAGTGCAACAGAGACGACAGCAGGCGGAGCGGCTTCCGGACCGAGAGAGACACAGACGAGAGGCTGCCGAGACCGCGGTCGGGTGGGAAGGTGAGAGGATCGTGTCTTGGCTGCCTCTGGAAGTGGTCCAGCCATTGGGACGACAGAGGAGGGGACAGAGAGGGCGGAGATGTAGACGTCGGTGGCATGGGCATGGGCATGGGGATCGGTGGTGCCAGTTCTGCCTCCTCCTCCTCCTCCCCTCTGTCTGCGTCTGCCTCTGCATCTTCCCAGAAGCTGTCTTCCGGCACTTGCGCACGATCGCCCTCTCCCTCTTGACCTGCCGCCGGCTCATGCTCTTCATCCGCTCTCTCTGAAGAGAGTGGTGACGAGGCCAGTCTGACGATGGAGCCCACGAGTGCGGCGCGATGCTCGGCACGGCTGGACGTGATGGCCGATGGCGCTTCAGAGGCCTCAGAGTCAACAACGGCCGGTGGCGGAGAAGACGGCTCCTCACAGACATCAAAGCCATCATCTGAAGCCTCCTCTCCTCGAGGCGGTGGTGGTGCTGCTGCTGGAAGAATAGGAGCCTCAGCCTCGCCGCCCTGCTCTCCCTGCCCCTCCTGATCACGAGGTGGTGCTGGTGCTGGTCCGTCAGCGAACGATGTGGAAGGCTCCGCTGGCATGTCGTCGGCAGCCGCCACTTCACCATCGCTGTCAGCCGATGCGTCCCCATCCTCCTCCGGCTGCTCGTCGAGGGTGTCCATCGGTGGCCCCAGAAGGCGACTGAGCATCGCCGGCTTCGCGACCATCACACAGCCGGGCGGGGGCGTCTTGGACCGCACTATTCCCATACCCATTGCCCTCTCCCTCCCATCCGGCCCATCCACCACCGGACCATCATAACGAGCCAGCGACAGGTGGCTGTCGTCCTGAGACCGCTGCTGGCCGAGCTTGTGTGCGGACGTCGCCTGCTCCTCTCCTTCCGCTCCTGTGTTGGCGGTGGTGGTGTCTTCCATGCTGCCGCCTCTGTGATGGTGTTGCTGTTGGTGCGAGGGGCCGAGAGGCAGCAATGCGTGCAGGGGGTGCGACGGCGCGTGGGCGGGCACCGACGCCGCGCCATCCATGCCATCCATGTTATCCGTCAGACGCATCAGAGAGGTGGTGTGGTTTAGGTCGTTGTTGACCAGGGACAGCGATTGGCTGCGGACGGGGAGGGGGAGGGGGCGGTCATCCGCATCTGCATGTGGGTGTGTCGGCGATGTGGGTGTTGGTACGGGTGGTGTCTCCTCCTCCTCCCCCTCCCCACTCTGGTCCATGTCGATGTCCATCGGCTGAGGGGGTCGGTCGGGGTGTGGCTCGGCGGGCAGAGAAAGGGCCAGAGAGAGGTTGAGCGGGGGCAGAGGGGAGTCGCCTGAGAAGAGGGGCGGCTTGTCGTCACCTTCACTATCCACCGTGAACACAGCTGATGGACGACAGGAGACAGACGATGGAACAAGGCAGGCCATAGGTGTACTATGTGTGTGCTGCTTACGGTCTTGGAAGAGTTCTGGGTCGTATTCCCGCCACTGCTCATGGTACTGCTCGCACCAAGAATGCCTCACAGCCTGCACACATCAATCGGTCCAACACACACACACAGATGGATGGATGGATGGATGGACACACACGTGTGTGGGTCCCATACCTCTGCGGGCGACATGCGCCGCTTGGGGTCCACCTTGAGCAGCCTACGCACGATGTCCCAACACTGCGAAGACATCCCATCAGGACACCTACACCACCACACAGCACACACACACACATCAAGAATGCCCTCCCTGCGGTTTTCCCCACCCATCTGTCAACATCTGTCAACTCAACGTACTTCATGTGTGTGGAGTCCCGTATGTTGGCCATCATAGCCCTCAGCTGCTGGTTCGGGTCTGGCGGTGCGTGGGCCTGCTGCTCGTCGCCCGTCTGGGAGGCCGGCGGCGGGAAGGGGGGGCTGCCCGTGACCATCTCGTGCAGGAGGCACCCCAACGACCACATGTCTATCCACGTCGCCTGCGACTGTCGCTGCAGCACCTCGGGCGCCTGCATTCAATTCACCAAAAGGTGTCGCAGAGACAGTGGGGGTCGGTTGGGGGGAGAGGAGAGAGAGTGGGGAGGGAGGGTCTTTGCTCAGTGACCATGTAGATGAATGTGCCGCAGATGGACTGGCGCGACTCGTCGGGTCTGAGCTCTGCGCTCCAGCCAAAGTCGCCGAGCTTGACGTGGTATTGGTTGTCGACGAGGATGTTCTCCGGCTGCATGTATTCAACGATGCAATGCAGCAAAAAGAGAGAGAGAGAGAGAGAGGGGCCTATGGGCGTGGGTGTCATTTGTGTGTGTGTGTGTGTGTGTTTCCTGCCTTGAGATCTCTGTGCAGGATATTGTGTGTGTGGAGGTAGTGGAGGGCTGCGCACAGCTGCATGAAGATGTACACGGCGAACGGCTCCTCCAACCTAAGAGCGCACACACGATGGGTGACACATATCAACCCACCGCACACAGACAGACAGATAGATACACACAAGCCAGGTACCTGGACGTATGATTCTCAATTTCTCACCTCTGCAGAATGTTCTCGGGCGTCTTGATAAGCCGGTAGAGCGTCTGCAAAGAATATAATAAAGGAGTGGATGTGGGTAGGTGTGTTTGTGGTGTGGTGTGTTGGTCAGGCCGTTTGTTTATCTTGCTCACGCACATTGGGTACGTATTCCAGCACGAGGAAGATGTGTCCACAGTGGTGGAACCAGCGGTGCTGCCGGACCACATTGCGATGGTCACACCGCTGATGCAGCTGACACACAGACAGACAGATTCACAGACACACACACACACACACACATACACACATACACCCATGTGCCGTGCCTCCATCTGTAGGTGTCGTGTTGCATACCTGGACCTCCCTGTCGAGCTGCCCTCGCAGCCCCCGACACACATAGTGCTCGATCTCCATCTGCCCCACACACAAAGCCACCCTTCCCGTTGCTGGCAAGATTCTAGGTCTTCCTCGTGTGTCCGGCTGGTGGGTGTATCATTCGTTACGATTTTGAGGGCTACGGTCTCCTTGGTCGTCCTATGCCGCAGGCGAATCACTCGCGCATACGCCCCCGCCTGGATGACGTGAACAAACAAACGCAAGGAGCAGGGGATGGGATGTGTGTCTGTGTCGTTGTGCAAGCTGATGTGTGACGTTGGTTGGTCTGAACGCACCCCCAACACGGCTGCGTAGGGGTTGGTGGCCAGGTCGTAGTCCGTCAACTCTATCGGCACCTAGAGAAAGAGAGAGAGAGAGAGCGTGCGAGAGGGAGGGAGAGGGAGGGAGGGAGGGAGGGAGGGAGGGAAAGAGAGAAACAAAGTCATCCATGCCCGGCCGTCGTGCTTGTGGGTCTTTTCCTTCCCGTGTGGCACAGCTGCTCACCGACAGACAGCTCAAGTAGTGAGACTGCTTGTGAGGATCGTCACAATAGTACAACTGCAACACACACACACACACACACACAATCTCTGCAGCCCTCCCCATCCTTCCCTGCAACTCACATCGTCCACGCGCACAGGCGCCCACTCGGGCGCACTAGCCGGGGGCGTCCTCGGCCGGCTGATGCTCCTCGATCCAGGCTCGCCACGATACACATGATGACTATGTGGCAACGGAGCCAACACCGCACCCCCGCCAGGGAAGTGCGCAAGGGGGTGTGGAGGGCCGCGATACCCAAACGCAGGCACCGCCCCTGGCGGCCCAGGCGGCCCGGGGTGGGCAGCCGCATAGTGCCCTATCCGCCCTGCGGCAGCAGCAGCAGCAGCGTTGCGATGATGAGCAGCAGCAACCACAGCCACCTGCTGCTGGTGGTGCTGCAGATACGGCGCACTGAGTGGAATCAGCCTCGACGCCGGCACCCGTCTGGCCACCTGTGGGTCTGCAGGGGCTGTTTGATGGCCATGATGAGCTCCGAGCAGCGGCACGCGCAGCGGTGTGGATGGGGAGGGCGATGCCGTGGGCGGGAAGGGGAAAGGTTGAGGCGGCTGAGGTCCTCCAGGGCCGCCTGCTGTGTGAGCAGCTGCCATTGGAGCAGCTGCAGTTGGCGGCGCTGTGGAAGAGACCGGGGGAAGCCGGGTGCCGCTGGTGGGAGGGAAAAACATAGTCAGGATTTTTCAAATGACTCCAAGACTTCACATCTTCAGCAAATTGAGCTTCTGCAAGCTGTGCTGGAGCACACGCAACGTGACGGCCAATGACGTGTCCGAGCAGAACCGCATCGCAACAGCTATGAAAAGCCTGTGCTAGAGCATCTGCTCGCGCTGGCTTTCTTGTAAATTCGCCCCATCGAAGGCTGCTGTCAAAGGTCACCACCGATGCGGCACAGAAAATGATGTAAGCCCTTCCCCACTTGGAGATGGCTTGGAGATGGATGGATATTTATTGGTCCCTCTTGTTTCTCTCCTCTCTGTCTGCAGAGTCAGCCCCTTCGCGCCAAGGCCATTCCTCTACGTACCATAGTCATCACATTCTACAGCACCATTGTCAATCGAAGGCCCTCATCGCATCTGGCGGTCGCCGTGCCGTGCTGACCAGATCTGCCGATTCTGCCCATGCACCAGCAGCAGCAGCAGCAGCAGTCCCCCACAGGCACCACAGGCAGCACTCGTCCCCCCCACCACCCCCCTCGCCCACCCGTCACACAGCAGCCGACCACCCCATCGCCCATCGTCGGGGCGGCCCAGCTCATCTGGCGCCGGGGACGTGACACCAACCTCGGCCCATCCAGCCGCCGGCAGTCGACATTCCGCAGCCCCATTGTGAGCCGCGCGGGGTCTTCTTACCGTGGTGAGGAGGGTGTGGGGGTGACTGGAGCGAGTGAAGTGTTGCTGGACGGGGCGGAGGCTGGGGCGGGGAGTAAGGCCGGGTTGGGGATGCGATCGGGGTCTCGGTGGGAGGGGGGGCCGACGGAAACATCGCCGCTCATCGGTATGCCTGGTGGGCATATGGAAAGGACACAAACATTGTGGAGGGTGATGGGCGGAGTTGTCTGTGTGTGTGTGTGTGTGTGTATGTGTTTGTTGGTCCACCAGTGTCGGTGTCGTCTCCTTCTGCGAAGGGCAGCGTGCGGGGCAGCCAGGAGTTCACTCTCGGCCCGGTGCACGGGCTAGGACCTATCGTTTGGCTCACGTGCTTCAACTTCCCATGTATTCCTCCACACACAGACACACACGCGCACACCCACACACACACACACACAGAGAGAGAGAGAGAGGGAGAGATGCCTTATCTGCAGATGGCTTGATCTACGCCACAATGGGGCTGTACATTCTGCCGTCGGAGGCGCTGCGGCTGTGGCCCAACCACGAGAGCCTCATGCTGGGCCTCTCCCTCGGCCTCATCGGGCTCACACAGCTCATCTGTCCGGTCGTAGGCGTCGTGTCGGACAACTACTCCTCGCCGTATGGCAAGCGGAAACCCTTCATCTTCGCAGGCATGCATCGCATCGCATCGGATGGAGCGATGGCTGGATTGCCCTCAGCCCCATGTGTGTGTGCGGATGGGTGCAGGGGGAATAATGTCGGTGTTGGGTTTCTTCGGCATGTGGTTCGCGAGCCTGCTGCTGACGCGGCCCTTGTGGATGATGCTCCTGGCCATCATGTCGTGCAGCCTCAACGTCATCTACAGTGCACAGACGGGCCTCATCCCGGACCAGCTCAAGGACCACGCCAGCCAGGGGACCGCATCAGGGGTCGTCGCCGTGCACCTGCTGCTCGGCTCAACGCTCGGTGGGCATCCCTCTCTGTCTGTCTGTCTGTCTGTCGGCAAGACGGCACACAAAGAGAGGCATCCATCCATCCATCCATGTGTGTGTGCGGTTGGCGTGAAGGGTTTGTGTTCGTGGCCTACACGAAGGACCTCGACTTCCACCTCCTCTACTTCGTCTACAGCCTGCTCATCTTCGTCTCGGTCATGCTCGTCTGCTTCACCGCCGTCGAGGAATACAGCGACGGGTGGCCCAAGGGGCCGTTGCTGCTGCCGGAGAAGCTCTCCATCAGAGACCTGCTCCGCTCCTTCACCATCGACAGGAGGAAAAACCCCGATTTCTTCTGGATCTTCGTGGCCAGGTGAGGGAGGCCGGGAGACAGACACAGACATGGGAAAAGGTGCTGCTGTGCCGTGCCGGTGTGTGCTGTGGTGCTATCTGTTGTGGCGCAGGACGCTATATTACCTGGCCACGAGTGGGCAGAGCTTCATATTGTATTACCTGCGGGACATGGTGGGGACGACCGACGAGGCGGCGCGCAAGTTCCAGATATCAGTCATCGCCCTGCTCGGACAGGCACACACACACACGCAGAGAGAGAGGGGGAGAGAGAGAGAGAACAACACACCAGGATGTGTCCTGAGATGCATGGACGGATCCTGGGGTGTGTGTGTGTGGTGTGCAGTTGGCGGCGGCAGCGGTGGCCTTTCCCGCGGGTTACCTGAGCGAGCACTGGGGCCGCAAGATCCTGGTCTACTTCGCCTGCCTCTTCATGTCATTCACATGGATCATGTTCCTCGTCCTGCCATGGGTCGGCCTACCACCCCACTCACACACACACACACACCCCTACACACACAAAAGACAAATTGGCCATGCCATGCCATCCATGTTTGTGTGCCACCGCCCAGATTATCAGCGACTACACGTCCTACGTGTCCTGCATATACTTCTGTGCCGTCATCTACGGCATCGGCAACGGCGCGTACCTGTCCGTCGACCTGGCACTCGCTCTCGACTGCCTCCCCGACAGAAGAACCGCCGCAAAAGACCTCGGTCGGCTGGCTGGCTGCCCATGCACACACACTCACGGACACACACACATACACATACACACACACACAGAGGGAGGGAGGGAGGGAGGGAGACACAGCCCACCCCAGCCCTCTCTGTCTGTGTCTCTGTGTGTGTGTGTCTGTCAGGTATATGGGGTGTGAGCGCCTTCGTCGGGAGCGCCATCGGTCCGCTGATTGAGGGGCTGGCCCTGCAGCTCATCGGCCGCCACGGCATCGTCATCTACCATATGGACCAGCCTAAGAGCTACGAGTATGCCGGATACGTCGCAGGTGGGGGGGAGACAACCACACACACACACACAGGGAGAGAGAGAGTGTCCTGTGGTTGTGTCAGTGTTGGGGTTGTCGTCTGTGTCGATATCCGTCTCCGCCTTCATTATCTCCTTTGTCCGGAGCGTCATATGACAGACATGAAATGAAACACATCATGACTGATGCCTTCACCTTTCCCCTCCTCTCTCTCTCTCTCTCTCTCTCTCGTGTTCTCCCGTGTGTGTGAGCGTGTGTGTGAGTGTGTGCCGAATTTTCATGTAATTGGCTGACAGTTCACTGCATTTCTCTTCGTTCATGCCATGCCGTGTCGTGGTGTCTGTCTGCAGTACCTGTCTTGTGTAAATGGTCCAATTTTGAATCAAATCATCCACACGCATGCGGTGGACGGCCACGTCCTGAAAGAAGTCGGTGCACGGTACTGTGCACATCATCACATCAATCAGAAAGCGTCAAAACACGCACAGGGTACACCACAACACCCACACTCCACCATAGCGCAGCCCCCCGACCACAGACGGACACATCCGGCACCCTTCACACCGATTGATTCACCAAAACAGCACCACGTCCCGACCGCTTGCATTAAGCAAAGAACACATCACATCACACCACACCGCCTTACCTTACACACGCTAGCTAGAGCACCCGGCACCCGGCCGACCGATCGGTCAGTCAGGAGCTCCAGCTGCCCCAGCTGCCAAAGCTCGACCAGCTGCTGCTCCTGCTGCCCAGACCGCCCAGCGCCGCTCCCAAGGCCAGGCCTGCCAGGCCCCCGGCAGCGAGACCGCCCCCCATCCCCATCCCGCCGAGACCGAATTTCTTCTCCTTCTTGTGTTTTTTCTTCTTCTTGTGGGTCTGATTGTGGCCGGCTGCAAGAAGATATGAACGTCCGTGTGTGTGGATTGGATTCCATTCATCATGATGTGTGTGGGAGGGGAGGGGAGGGGAGGGGAGAGGCTGGATGGCTGGCTTACCGCCCATGTTCATGGCGTTGTGGAAGAGCTGCTGGCCGGCCATTCCTGCAGTGAGGCCGCCGACCCCACCCATACCCATACCCATCCCCACACCGTGATGCTGATAGTGCTGCTGCTGGTGTTGGTGGCTGTAGCTATACTGCTGCTGCTGCTGTTGGTGTCCATAGGGGGCGTTATAGGGCTGCTGCTGCTGACCATGGCCATGGCCGCCCCCTCCTCCGCCCAGCATGTCCATATAAGTAGGGCCAGGTCTGGCCTGTTGCTGCTGGTGCTGCTGTGGATATGAGGGGTAGTTAGAGGGAGGGGTCGGGGCTGCAGGAGCAGGGGCAGGGGGCGGCGCAGAGGGATCGTACAGCGGTGGGGCGGAGGGCGCGTTGATCGAAGGGTAGAGGCCACCAGGGGGCTGCTGTCCGCCTGACATGCCTGTGCTCGGGCCTGCACAGCCAATAACACAACAGTCATCGCATCACATCCCATCACATCACATCACACCGCACGGACGAAGCGGACACTGACCTCCGCTGCTTGCGGGCGGCTCATCGTCATATGCAGGAGGTGCAGACGGAACCGGGGCAGGGGCGGGTGTCTGCTGCTGTGTCACATGGACGACGGTCGCTGCCGCTGGTGCCGGCTGCTGCTGCTGCTGCTGGTGGTGGGTGGTGTGTTGAAGGTCTCCCCCCAAGAACCTGATGGTCACCTTCAGGTGGCCGCCGAACTTCTTGCCCTTGTGCGTCAGCTGCAGATCCCCTGAGTAGCATCGGGTCGGGTGCTGCAGCACCCACAAGGCAACAACACAACACACCAGCGTGTGAGCCCAGCTGCCCAGACGAGCATCAATCACATCATCCGCTCTCATCTCCAGCCGCGACGTTCACCTGACCTGTATGATGGCATTGAGATTGACCTCTGCAACGCCCGAGAGGTCGTGCTTGCTCCACTTGTCCTCGTCCCACACCTCGAACGTCATGGTTGGCTCCCCGTGGTAAGGCATCTGGCACCTCATCTCCCACGTGGCCTCACTGCCCGCGTTGGTCTTGGTGGGCGTCTTGGCCACGCTGTTGCCGACCTTGATCTTGACGTAGGGATCCATCTTGCCGAAGGTCTCTGCCAGCCAGGCAGGCAGGGGACACACAGACAGACAGACAGACAGACAGACAGACCATTATTGTGGCTGAGGAGGAGGTCAATGACTCAATAGAAAGGGCCGCGCTGCAGGGACGTACTTACCTGTGTTGTACATCTGTCTGCCGGAGTGGACGCAGACCTGCACAAATGGGGTGGCTCCCATCTTGGCTTGTTAGTTCGTGGGTGCGCTGCGCTGCGGGTAGATCAGATCCTCGAGAGGCAGACAGCAGGAGTGTCACGATAGACAGACACTGATAGACACACAACTCTCTCTCTCTCTCTCTTGTGATCTGCCAAAGAAAGGCACTCGCGGAGAAAGATCTGACTGACAGAATCAGGGCACCTGCATCTGCTTCTCTTGCCTTACAGCGGTTTCAATCACGATGAGTCCCGTTTCAGGGGGGGTTGCGATAGGGCTCCTTCGGCCGCTGCAGTCGCCGAAATGAAGGCGCGACGGGCGGCGCTGAAATGAAAGGCGACCAGATACCTGATCTACGAGTGGAGCCTGACAACTAGCCGTTATTGGTATATGGCCGGCGCTCCTCTGTGAGTGCAATGGGTGCGGCGGCGGGCACCGTCAAGAGCAACGATGAGGCCTCGCCCGCCATCAACGGCCAAGTGCTCGACTTCATCCATCGCGATGGCAGGGACGAACTTCACGAGGACGTCAAGGACCTCGGCAGCATGAGGAATGCTCCCCGCTTCTTCGGCAACGACCACTTCCCTGCCCAAGCCCTCCGCGGCCGCCTCGACCGCTCGCTGAATCGCATTCGCCTCGCCGACGGCACCAGATTGGCTGCCGTGCTGGCCTTCGACACACAGACGGTGGTCGGGGCGCAGCTGCTGCTGGCGGCCATCTGGATGGTGGAGGAGCAGAGGTGGGACGAGGTGGCTGAGGTGCTGCAGTGGGCCAGCCAGTGTGGCAACTGCACTCTGCCCGTCAACCTCACGGCAGATGACATTCGCACACACGTCAGCAAGACGGTAAGACACACACAGACATGGGGGGTCGAGAGAGAACCAACAGAGAGGAATCACTCATTTCCTCTCTCTGTCTGTCTGTGTGTGTGTGGTGTCGTCTAGGCGTATAGTTCGGTAGCTCGTGTGTTGGCGCAGCTCATGGTGGTCGGCCGCCACGTGCAGTTCGGTGACGGCAGCCGCCTGCAGCTGTTCCGCCGTGGCGACGAGGTGCGGGCCATCAAGGACGAGCCCGGCTTTCGGCTGGCCATTAACCCGCCCTTCCCTGCCAAGCACCTGTATCAGCAGCACAGACAGCCACACGACCCGCCAGTACAAAGCCGCAGTATCTGCTACGAGGATGACACCAACCAATGGGTGTCGAGCCTCTCGACCACCACCTGGGCGTCGGTGTCATCGTATGCCAAGGCCATGATTCTCAACCACTTCATCAACACTGAGCAGACCAGCCGCCTATCGACTGCACTCAACAGGTGACACACCAATGGCGGCAGTGGCGAGAGGGCTGCGTGTTTGATTGTCTGTGTGGGTGTGGTTCGTTCAGGTATGTTGGTGGCAGCCGTCTGCAGGACCTCCTAACCCAGTCGCCCCACACACCGGTGGCGGGATGCACCACGACATTCCGCCGCATTGGCGACCGATGGCTGGTCCTGACCAACAACAGCCACCACTTCGTCGCCTGTGTCGACATCTGGGATTTGGGGGCCTTCAACGGTCAGGATGACAGACAGGCAGCTCTGCTGGTCAGTCACATGTCATCAGTGTGCTCTCTTTGTCTCTCTCGTCTTGTCTGCAGTGCATATTGTGGTCCACACGACCGAGTCGGCTGTGGCTGGTGTGGGGGAGGACGCCCCCTTCAAGGACCGCTTCCCGGTGACGACACAGCTGGCCCACGTGGCGCTGGCGGCGGTGGCGCCACTCGTCTTTGACGTACAGCCACAACAGCAGCTACAGCCACAGCAGCAGCCACAACACCAGGGAGGGGACGATGGTACGGACAGACAGAGGGAAGGACACACACACATGGTGCAGCGTGTACCTGGATGGATGGATGGATGACGTTTCTTCCCTTGTCTGTGTGTGTGGTGCAGACGGCAATGGCGATGAGGGCGACGATATGGACGACGGCAACGGGGGAGAGGGCAGCGGAGGTACAAAGCACGGCAGGAGGGAAGGCACACCGACTCGCAGTCTGCGTGTCTGTGTGGGCGTCTTTAACAGGAGAGGATGCAGCAGCTGAGGAGGGCAACGGAGGCGGTGGCGGTGAGGACAGTGCATCGCCCTAATGACACACACAGACCGATCTGGATACCCATCGGTGCGCCACACACACACACACACACACAGTGGAGCCCTTCTGCGATGGGATCGGCTGCTGTCATGCCTCCGTCTGTGTGTTTTGGTCGGGCTGGCTGGCTGGGGTGTGCGTGTGGGTGGGGCGACGTTTGTGAAGGAACCCATGCGAATGAATGAATGCACGGGCATTGCACTCAGTGCAATGCATGTAGCTCAATCAAGGCAGGCTGCATGCCATGCCATGCATGCCACCTGTCACTGTGGAACCCAAAGCCGGTCATTGCGTTCGCTGGACTAGCCTGAGGTCTCGGTCTCGTGCTAGCGCCGTGGCCATAAGGCAAACCAATGATTAATGTTACACATGACATGACAAGCATGATGGCAGGCAGGCAGGCAGAGATACACACACGCACAGAACACACACCTGTCCTTCTGTCTGTCTGTCTGTCTGTCTGTCTGTGGTGTCAATCCCTCCCTGGTGTGCCTGCCACACTACTACTACACCGACCAGCAGTATGCCATAGCATACACCGCCCTCAACCCATCCATCCGACCATCGGCCGGCCACACCCCCCCCCCCCCCCCCCCCCCCCCCCCCCTCCC